GTTTTGCAGTAGTGGCTCTTTGTTTTTAGCTGAGTATAAGGCTCCTGGGGGAAAATTCCCTGCAGGGGAAGTGGTGGGTGCATTTGCAGAGGTGGAAGCATCCTCCTACCTGTGACATTCCTGTGCAGCCCATCCAGTTCCACCCCCCTGCCATGGGCAGGGACACCTTCCACCAGCCCAGGTTGCTCCAAGCCCCGTCCAACTTGGCCTTGGACACTTCCAGGGATGGGGCAGCCACAGCTCTCTTGTAGCTTTGGGTGCAGCCCAGGATACACACACTAAAAGGAGTTATACTTCCAATAAAGGATAGGTATTCCCTAAGGATCCTGGAGGGGCAGAGAGGTCCTTGTGTTTCCACATTCAGAAAACTTAAGGCTGCAGTGGAATGGTTCTTGCCAGGAAAGGCAATCCTGCTTCCCTGCATTTTCAGTTGGAGCCAGCTGGATGTCTGGCAGTGAAGCTGCAGGAGTGTTTGATAAGGTATTTGATAAGGTCACTAGCTCTGTATTTGTGTCCTCCAGGATGCTTGTTTGCTGGGTGAGATTGAATTCCTGGTTGGATGAACCAGTGGCTTCGTTACCTGTTGGCAGCTGGAAGCTGTGCTGCAACACCCACCTGAGTGTGGTGGCAATAACGGTGACTTGTGGTCCTGTGCTGGGCTGGGGCTGCAGCAAACCCCAGGACCTCAGCTCCTGGCCTCTGCCACAAGTCTGGCTGCTCATCTGATATCTCTAGACACAACCTTGGGCTCCTGCTCCCCAAATCTGGCCTTGTCTGTCACCGGTGTGTGACCCAAGGGTTCATCACTCAGTGGGGACACAGCAAAAGAGATGAGTAAATGCTTTATACAGATGGAGTTTTGAAGGCCTTAAGATCAGTGTTATTTCCTGAAACGGGTGCAGTTCCGTTTTACTTAAAGGAAATTTCACTTTTGATGCCCAAACTGGGGCAATCTGTGCAGAACTGGCTTCTGTGTGAACTCCCCATGTGCCAGGCTCTGTGCTGCTGTGTCAAGCAGTCAGCTAATTTTTGATTAGAAATCTTGCTTTGTAATCAAATTCTCATTTATGAAGAAAACAAAGGTTTTGAGTCTAAACCAATCAATAATTTGTATACACTTCCAGGTGGCCTTGTCAAAAGTAAGATTCAAAACTTGAGGAATTAGTCTCAGCCTTTCCATGCAGCACCAAATAGTCCAACCAGGGAGGATAACCAACACCACCAATGGTGTCTTTTGTGTGCTTTCATGTATTTTCTTTAATTAGTTCATCACAAATAATGTTACAGATGCTTCCCTGATTTTTAGTCAGTATTTATCAGATAAAGCTGTAGCCAGGGAGCTCCTGGACACTTGGAACAGAAGCTCTGGGAAGTGATAAACAATCCCCTTGTTCATGAATACCTCTCTGGTTTCATGGAGGTTTGCTTTCTGCAGTTGGAATTACCAGGCTTAGTCCATCACTGTTCTATTTTTTTCTATTTTTTTAATCTCTCCTGAGAACTCTTTATTTTTAACAGTCAATTTAAGGGAAACCTCTGGAGTATCATAATGTGTATTCTGATGAGTACACCTAATTACAAAGAGTACATTAGATGAACGAGTCTGTATTTTTAATTTGCACACTTTTTTTTTTTGAACACAAGGAATTGTGAGTACAGCCAGTGGTGATGAAATACCTGGTGTTCGGATAAATTCAGAAAATTGGGTTTGCCTTCAGGTAAAGCCTATTTGTATCAACAGATTTAAGCAAGAACAGATGTGCCTTTGTGTGAAGCCAGGCTTTTAAAAATCCCAGTTGTCATTTTTCTGTGTATTTACATTGGGTAGGAGATACCACTGAGGATGAGTTGGGCTGAAAGAAGAATATATTTTATTTGCTCATGCAGGAAGTCAGAGATAGTCACAGTGGTTGTGTTAAATTCATTTTATTTAATTTGCTGATGACCTTACAATGTTTAAACTGACCAGCTTTGCTATTTGAGAATAAATGCTTTTCCCAGCATCATCCTGATCTTTGTGGGATGTTTATCCAGGCTTGTTAATGTGTGAGCTACCTTCCTTTTAATCCTCTTCTATATAGCCAGTTACAGGGTCCTTCCTGAAAAGAGATATTAAAAATAAAAGTCTTCTCTTTGAGAGTGTTCATGAGATAACAAGAAATGGCCCAGTGAGGGGGTACCTAGGGAAGCAGTGACAAACATCCACAAAAAAATCTGTTGACAGCTTTGATAGTCTCAAAATAGATTTATTTTTTCCATTATATTTTCATTATAGATTAGTATTTTTTCCGTTATATTGAATATCTTTTCCACTTAAACTTACTCCTCCAGAGAGTCAAAGTCAGGTTAATGCTACTGTTTGTACCAGTGAAGTGGAAAATGTACATTTGAAGGCAGAGTTTTAGGGGCAAGCTGTGTGTCCAGAGGATTCTCCTCTCTGTCTCTTGGGGTGTGAGGGGGTTAATTGCCCTGCCCTTGTGATTTTCCACTTTAACCCCGATTCCACAGTCTGAAAATACAAATTCCAGCCTTTCCCCTGTTCTGGGATGCCCTCACAGGTTTTTCCAAGTGGTTGTGATTGTAGAACTGAACCTTGTTGTAGAAAATGATGTGGATTTTTGCACGAAGACTGTGGTGTCTGTACAGGAAACGTCACAGGAAGCTGAGGGAAGGCAGAAGATTAAACTTGCACAAATTATTCCAACTTAAAAGGGCAGATCCTCAGAAGTTTCTCTAAAACCATCAGTCCCCTGCCCTGACCCCCCAGTGCAGGGCCCTGTGTGTGTTCTGGGTTGTTTCACTGAGGGGAAATGGGTGAGGGGATTGTTTATAACTAAAAATGACAATCCTCGCTGTTTCTTTTATCTCTTTTGCAAGTAGGAAGGACAATAATTCCCTTCTGCTCTTTGGTTTGAGGTGTGTTGGCTCAGTGGCAGGGATCTCAGTGTTGCTGTCAGAACCAAGTGCAGTTGGCAGGGCAGTGTCTGCACCAGGCTGGTCCTGGCAAAGGCCTCACAAATAAAGGGGGATTTTGCTGAGCTTCTGAGATGCTTGATGTTCCCAGAACAGCTCCTCAGCTACATTATCCTTGCCCATCTTCCTCCAAAAAACATCTACCTGTGGAATTATTTGTATCTTGTTTTCATCCAGATTAACCTTCTGCTTTGGAGTTTGCATTTCTCAGTGGACAGAGGGATGTTCACAAGCACTTCAGGCAGTGTAAGCTGTCACTGCCACCCACAGATGTAACTCCTGTCACTCTCTCCAACATAATATTTCTACTTCTTGTGCCGGGAAAAAAGCCTTTGTGCAGCATGTGGTTGGATTGCTCAGAGACTTGGTCCAGCAGAGGAATAAGCTCAGCACAAAAAGCTGTTTTGTTTTGTTGGGGTTTTTTTTGGCTGGATGAGCTCCCAGGTTGGGTTCACCCTGCAGTTCCTTGGACTTGACTTGGTGGGGAGGGAGCAGGCTCTGCCCCTGTGCAATCTGGAGTGTCTGGCATGGTTTTAGCAAAGTTGTTGTGTCTACTTCCAGAATTCATTCTGGAGTGTGATAAACAAAGTCTTGTTTCTATAAGTTTTTGAACAGGAGTTTATTATATGGTAAAAGCAAGCAGCCAGCTGGGTGACAGAAATGGGGACAAATTTCCCAAATCTGCACCCCTACTACAGTGTACATTTGGCATTTATCTTAGCTACTTCATGCATATTAATTATATCATATACATTTTACATTTTTTTGCTAAGCATTTAATATATGGGGGTTTTTTACAGCTAAAGCTAAAAGGGTTATCTCTACAACTGGTCATAATTCATGCATTCTTGGATGAACAGGCGCCTAAAAGATGTAAAGTTCTACCATATTTTATTCTTAGGATAGCAGAGAGGTTTTAGGGCCCCTTGACCTTGTAAGGGTCTGTTTTATTTCTTTATGGGGGTGTAATTAAGTTTTACAATCCGTTTGTTTTATTTTGATGTAATCACCCATTTGTTTCACGAATCACAGTTATTTATTTATCACATGGAGTAAGCTGGGTTTGCCTGTTGCAATGTGTATAAAGCATTTTTAGGTTCTTAGTCGGGTGTTTTCAAGAGAGGTGCTTTTCCCATCTTTATCCACACGTTACCGAATGTTTTTCCAATGTAAGATGGTTTTAAGGACATTGGGCTGCAAAATTCTCTCTCCTTCTCCCAGTACAAAACAAGTAAAGCAGTTGTTTTTATGTAATGACCAGGTCAGTGTTTAAGACATCAGACAAGTGCACCCCTAACCACATGTGTACTCAAAACTCCTGAGAGTGGAAAAGGCTTTTTCCATCCTTTGTGATCTAAAGAAAGATCCCTGGGGTTCTTTGAGGAGTTTGAACCACTTGTTTATCAGAACCAGAGAAGCCCAAACATCTGCAGAGAACGATTTTCACATGGGCATAGGAGGCACGTGGAATATCCTGAGTTGGAAGGGACCCCCAAGGATCATGAGTCCAACTCCTGGCCCTGCACAGGGCACCCCAGCAATCCCACCATGTGCCTGACAGGGTTGTCCAAACACTCCTTGAGCTCTGGCAAGCTCGGGGCTGACTGTCCCAGCTGCCTGCAGAGTTTGGTGGCTTCATAATCCTCCTGGCTCCATGGTTTTTGGAACACTGTGCTCATCTACCTGCACTGCTGTTTTCATGGGTTGTGTTGTAAAGGTGAAGGAATCTTTGTGCCCCCTTGCATACCTTGCTCCACATGGAAAACCAGGGCAGTTGCCAAAAGTCTGCATCCAAGAACACTTGCAGTCAGACAGTAGCACTTAACCTTGTTTTGAAAAGATGCCTCACTTAACTGACTTTTTCTCATCTCCTGTTCTTTAAATCATCTCAGCTTTGGTGAATAAACACTAACTCCTACCCCATTTATTATGCAGATGGTCCCATCGCTGTTGCTTGATCACCCTCAGTTCTGCATACTACTGCTTTGTGCAGCCTGGAAACATGTTGGTGTATTTTTATTTCGTAGGAAGCAAGAACAGAATCTATTGCCAGACCTTTGGAGATAAATGAGGCTGAGAAGGTGATGAAAATTGCCATTGACAGTGTTCTGGTAAGCGAAATTATATTTATTTCATTGAAAAAATATAATTTCTCTCGTGCAAGAAGGACATAGCTCTTTTTATCAACAGTGAATGAGGTAGGGCACAGTGATGGCTGTGAGCTGGCAGAAATCACACCTGCAGCAGGAAGGGTGAGCAGGAAGGGTGAACAAATCTAGCAACAGCACCTAGAAGATGTTAAGATCCTCTTTGCTGCACTGTCACACTATGTAACTGCTGGTTCAATGTGCAGAAGCATTCCTTCATCAAATAGCTGCACTTGGCCTCTCTCTTGGGAGAAAACACATTTTAGTCATATTCCCTGGCTTTCTTAGGAACTTTGCCCCAAAAGCTGGGCAGAAGGGATAAAAATGGCCTAAATCAGCACGGAAATCTACATCCCCCCACCTTGTCTAAGCTGTGTAAACTCTGCAGAGTCGGGGAGTGACCTTGGTGACCCAAAATGTGCTGGTACCTCTGGAGTTGGGAAGCTTGGCTCTGGAAGCAGGATAGCTGAGCTAAAGGGTAAGAAGAGCTAATCAGTGCTAATCAGTAGCACTGTGCTAATCAGTGCCCTGCCAGGGCATTGTCGTGGTTCTCATTTTGGAGGAACTTCTGTCTGTCCCAGTCATGGCAGCTCTGTCCTTGCTCCAGTGCTTGGGTTCCTGAATTTCCAAACCTTTTGCTGTGCTGTGTGAGGAGGAGGGTTAATCAAATCCTAGTGATTACTATCAGTTAGTTAACTGCAGACTGTATCCAGTCCAAGTGTGGAATTACAAGGAGTGGAGTTGCAGCTTTAAACAGCCAGTGCATGATCAGTAGATATTCCAGGTGATCTTATGTTTCTGCTCCTGCTCACAGTCTATCTGAATATTAAAGGTTGTTAACATGCACTTTGCATTCTAGCAGTAACACTGATGAACTAAAAGCTGCATAGTAAACTGATTGGCTTCCAACAACATGTACCTTAGCTAATTAATTCTGGCCCAGTTAATTAAGTGACCTGTTTGAGCTGAGCAGCACCAACAGTTGCTGCTGGAATTTCAGCGAGTCTGAAGTTCTCTCTCTCTTCCTCAAAAGATGCTCATGGTTTCCTGAGCATGAGCACACTGATTGTACTCATCCTCATGAGCTGGAATATTCCCACTTCCCCCTCCAGCAGCACCTGTGTTAATGTTCAGGATGCCTCCCATAGTTTGAAAAAACAGATAAAGCAAGATTTAGAAAAGGATGAAGATATTCAGATAGAGTAAGTTCTTTACAAAAGCGACCTTTACCTTGAAAAGGAAAAAAAAAATTATGAAAACAAAAAATTCCCTAAAATAATACCAAGAAATAAATGCATTTCTCATCTGTGTTTATGCAGATAGAATTGTGGAATCATTAAGGTTGGAAAAGACCTTAGTGATTCCATTAAGATAGGTTTCAAAAAGATCTTAATGGTTCCAAAAGATAGGCTTCTATTTATCTTTTACTGCTTTTTCAGTGAGAAGGAAAGTTAAAGCTGTGGGTTTTTTTTTCATTTTCTTCTTTAAAAATGTCTGAAAAAAGTAAGGTGTTTTAAATTTAGAAGTGTCCAGTTAGTTCATTATCCTGGTCACAAAGAACTTTTTAATTTCCATTACCTACTTCAGTAAACACAGATGAGATTATACAGAATGATGTTCAGCATCTGAAAGATAATTCTAATTATTCCAGGGCCAGCCACGATTCACTTTCCTTCTCTTTTAGGAACAAGTCCAAAAGACTAAAGACATGTTGAATAATGTGGCTTTGGATGAAAGCAATTTGGAAGCCAAGATTGAAAAACGAAAATTGGAACTGGAAAGAAGCCAGAAGAGGCTACAGACTCTACAAAGTGTTCGGTAAAGATTATGAGCTGATTATCTGTTGCATAAATGAGTTTTAGCATAAAGGGTGGAACTGTTCCCAGAGGCTTCTACCACCAGTTCAACCACCAGTTAAAAAATTCATTCTACATCCCTTGTTGGGATCAGTTCCTCTGATCCTGACATAAAATCTGTAGAATCATAGAATCACCGACTGGTTTGGGTTGGAGGGACCTCAAAGCTCATCTCATTCCACCCCCTGCCACCATGGGCAGGGACACCTTCCACTAGCCCAGGTTGCTCCAAGCCCTGTCCAGCCTGGCCTTGGACACTTCCAGGGATCCAGGGGCAGCCACAGCTTCTCTGGGCAACCTTTGCCAGGGCCTCCCCACTCTCACAGAGAAGAGTTTCTTCCATATATCCAACCTAAATTTCCCCTCTTTCAGTTTGAACATATTACTCCTTGTCCTATCACTGCAGCTCCTGATGATGAATCCCTTTCTGGCTTCCTCGTAGGCCCCTTCAGATACTGAAGGTATCAAGGTATTCAGGTTTACAGTTTGGGTTGATTTCTTGCCCTTAATTAGGCTGCAGGTTTATACAAGCTACAATCTGACCTAGTATAAAAAAACAAGGGGAAATACTAGAAAAATCAGCAGTGGAAGGAATGCCATTGTTTCACATACACCTTTGGATCAGTGTCGGAGGAAGTGTACTGGGGAGGTGTGAAGCATCAAGCAGCAGCAGTGGTTTTTAGGGTGCAGTATTTAGCTGTGTGGTATTAAGGACATCATCACTTCGTCACACAAGTCTAGTTATTCCTGTAATGGCACAGGACACTTTTGTGGCAAGGAAGTGCCCAGCAAAGTATGTGATTTACCAGCCACGCTAAACACTAATTTTTTGGAGTTGTGGAACAACTTAAATTCACCTGCTAAAGGGGCCAAAATGCTGCCTTTGTGCCTGTGTGAAAGGTCATGGTAGTGGGTGCACAGTAACCTTCCTTTTGCTTTATGTAATTTCTGCATAATGGTTTAGTGAGCTTTTGGTGTCTGAAGCAGTGTAAAACCTTACAAACAAAAGGGCCTTTGAGGCTGGTTTAGCAGACATGGAAGGGAAGCTGCAAAACCAAAAGTGTATTTCAGAATTCTGCATATGCAGGGCAATATTTATAGAATCAGAGAATCACAGAACTTTTGGGTGGTTCCAGCTCAGCCCAACCCAACCCCCCAGGTTTGGGCTGGAAGGAACCTTAAAGGCCATCTCATTCCACCCCCTGCCAGGGGCAGGGACACCTTCCACTTCACCTTCCCTGTCCAGCCTGGCCCTGAACACTTCCAGGGATGGGGCAGCTGCAGCTTCTCCAGGCAGATTTCACTGAGCAGCTTGTGCTTGTTCTCCCCAGTCCTGCTTTTATGGATGAGTATGAGAAGATTGAGGAGCAGCTGCAGAAACAATACAGTAGTTACCTCGAAAAATTCCGTAATCTGACCTACATGGAGCAACTCCTGGATGATCATCGACGGGCAGAGCAAGAGATGTTTGAGGTAAGACAGCTCAGAAATGGTCAGTAGGACCGTAGAGCCTCTAGTGCTTGTCCTTAGAACAGAAAATGTTTCAATGTCCCTTCACAAAACAACATCACTGTCCGTAGAGCCAGCTCTGAGTGATGGCAGGTGCTGGGCAGCTCAGTGGGTGTTAGAGCTCTTGGCCAAACACAACAGCACGGCTTTATTTTCTGAGTTAGAGAAGTTAAACCAGTGTGGTTATTATGCCCCTTGTCAGTCTCTGACCCACTGAGTCATTTTCAGTTGATGGATTTTGTACATGAAGAAGGTTCTCAGCATTTCTGATCTTTGCTTACAGTACATTAATCAATGCATGTGCATACCTACAGTGTATGTGCTAAGAGATATTGGGTGCTTATTTTTATTGTCTGCCAACAACTGTTATATAAGGGTTTCTCATCACAAGGCTCTTCCATTTCCTCATAGTAGCAAAAGAAACAGCAAAGAACATCAGTGAGGAGATCATTTGTGGTGGGATCCTCCCCCATGGAATTCAGTTTTGTTTGGCAGAAATTCTGTTCTCTGTCACCTTGCTGAGTTCCATCAGTTCAGGGGGATTCTCCAGATGGGTAATCTGCATCTGTGTCTTGTCTTGCTCCAGACTTCTCTTTGGGTGTTTACTGGACTGTAATGCTTTCAGCCAGTCTTTCCTTCAGCTTCCTGTAGCTTCGTGTTTTGTTGTCTGGCTTTTCATCCTTCTCACAGTCATTACCCAGTGTATGTTCTGTTCTTCATTGAAAACCTGTTTCAGTGAACACTATCCTCTTGAACCTCAATGCTGGTGGGTGTGGTGGGTGTGCTACACCTGGAGTTACAGAATCACAGAATCGTTTAGCTTGGAAGAGACCTCCGAGAACATGGAGTCCAACCTGTGCCCAATCCCCAGCTTGTCAAGCAGAGCAGAGCACTGAGTGCCACATCCAGTCCTTCCTTACAAACACCTCCAGGGATGGGGACTCCACCCCCTCCCTGGGCAGCACATTCCAATACTTAACAACAACCCTTTCCGTGAAGAAATTCTTCCTGATGTCCAACCTAAACCTCCCCAGGCACAACTTGAGGCTGTTCCCTCTCCTCCTGTCCCTTGTTCCCTGGGAGCAGAGCCCGACTTCCCCCCCGGCTCCCCCCTCCTGTCAGGGACTTGCAGAGCCAGAAGGTCCCCCCTGAGCCTCCTTTTCTCCAGGCTGAGCCCCCCCAGCTCCCTCAGCTGCTCCTGCTGCTCCAGCCCCTTCCCCAGCTCTGTTCCCTTCCCTGGACACGCTCCAGCCCCTCCATGGCTGCCTTGTTGTGAGGGGCCCAGAACTGATCCCAGGACTGGAGTTGCCTCAGCAGTGCAGCCAGGTAACCAGTTGTTAACCAATGCTTCCTCTTTCCTTCATCACCCTTGGTCACAGGGAAAGCCATGCTGTGTCCTGTTGAGAAGTCTCAGATATTTTGCTTCATTATTGGCTTGAGGGATAAAATAACTTACCTTTTCAAAGGTGATGTGGGCATTTGACAATTTGTTAATCCCTGTGAACCAATTTCCCATTAACTCCCCCTTTTTGTAAGCACTATCTCTGGAGATATTTTTCCACCTAATATCTGTAGTCAACCTGCTATTTTCATATGTCTTGTTTTATAATCTTCTAATTCTTGTCCATATCCTTAGCCCTAAAAAAAAAAATAAGTCATCAATTAAATCATAATCTTGAAATGAAGCCTAAAATCTGATTTTTCCCTTCTGTTCAAATGCCGTTGAGACTTAATAGCCAAAGGAGAAATGCTTTGAACTGAGCTACCTGCAACTGGTTATGAATTCATGTGCAGAAGTTTGTTAATGAGTTGGTGGCTCTTTGGGGGATTTTTGTTAAAAGATAATAAGACAAGGAAAAAGCCTTTGTCATTCAGGGCTGTGCCATGCCTAGAATATGGAAAGCATTTTTTATTTTCCTTTTTCTCCTTCTTTCTGTGAGGCACCTGGGAATCCCATATGGTTTGGCTTTTCATTTCCTGGGATAAGCACGGAAACAGTGCTGCAGCATAAAACAGAATTAAAGAGTGTAAAAGCTTGGGACAAAAAGATGTGGTTTTTCTCTGCACACTTCTGTTACTTGTGCCTAAAAATACTTCTAATACATAAATGATGAAACTCTGACCACCTTTTTGTGGGCAGCAACACAGTGACTCAGGCAGCCACAACTGCTCTGCTGTAGAAGCTCTTGCTTTGGTAGGAGAGGAGGTTGTGTGTGTCTCTTATACCCAGACTTTCAGGAGTGCTGGAGTCTAAACTGTTACTTGGAAGTCATTATGAGATGTCAGTCCTCAAAATCCAACTCCAGGACTTGGGAACTGAAAGAGGATGAAGAATTTCAACCTGAAGAAGAGAAGGCTCTGGAGAGACCGTAGAGCCCCTTCCAGTGCCTAAAGGGGCTCCAGGAGAGCTGGAGAGGGACTTTGGACAAGGCCTGGAGGAACAGGACACAGGGAATGGCTTCCCACTGCCAGAGGGATAGTGGGAAGGAATGTTAGGTGGGATATTGGGAAGGAATTCTTGCCTGTGAGGGTGGGGAGGCCCTGGCACAGGTTGCCCAGAGAAGCTGTGGCTGCCCCATCCCTGGAAGTGTCCAAGGCCAGGTTGGACGGGGCTTGGAGCACCCTGGGCTAGTGGAAGGTGTCCCTGCCCATGGCAGGGGGGGTGGAATGGGATGAGCTTTATAGTCCTTTCCAACCCAAACCATTCCATCATTCTATGATTCTAATCTGGGTCCCAGCTAAACCACTTGCTGGTGCACTGCTGTTTCCAAACCAGTGGGGGGACTCTCCTATTTTTATTTTTGAGAGATATTGCATTGTTTAATCCATTTTCAATTAGTCTGTTGCCAGCCTGGAACACAATGGTAGATCTCTCACTTCTGTCAGTCTCGATCTGCTTTCCAGGTGATGCTTCACTTCTTTAGCTACTTGTTGGGTTGTTTATTACTTGCTTGAAGAAAAAGAACAATTTGCTCCAAAACAATGCTGAATGTTGTCCTAAAGTTTATAATCTTGTGTCATTTTCAGCATCAACAGGGGAAAAAGTAATGAGGATAATTACATTTAATCCATTTTAATACACACTCTCTCAGCTGTCAGAAAACACTGAAAATTATGTTGATTTTTAACCCAACCCTGATTTGTGTTTTGTTCCACCAAACAAATCTTAATTATCTTCTGCAGAATCAGAACGAGGCAATTCTTTTATCCTCTCTCTGCATTTTGCTAAATAGCTTGCCAGCAAAAAGCAACAGCAGTGTAATTAGATTAATCCAGCACTCCCTGTGCTGCTCTGAGAACTGATTCCTGGACCCCTCTCCTTGACTTGGTGCATGTTTTGAGGAGGAATTTTTGTTCTGATTGAGAGACCCTTCTGAATAATGAGATTAATTTCCCCTGCAGCTGGACTCAGACCTGGTTTGGCACCCTGCTGTTGTCACACAGCTGATGATCTGGGCCAAAGTGCATTTCCTAATTAGAAAAGTGATTTAAAGATTGTACCCAGGCACGCAGTTTTAATTAAGTGACATTGAGCCCTTCCAGACTGCAGTGCTGGTGGTTGGTGTGGATTCCTTAAGGTTGATTTTCGTGCTGTGGGTGCTCAGTCACATGGAGAGCAGAGCCTTGTAGCTCCTGGTGCTGCTTTGCCTCCTGCTCATAAGGAGTGCTGGTTGGAGGGCCATTGGTGGGAGTCTCCTGCCAGGCACTGGGCTGAGAAACTCTCTGTGTTCAAAGGGACTTAAAGGTGTTGAGTGAACCAAACAGTTAATTGATGATGAAATTCACTCCTGCAGAGCACCTCTGATGTAGGAGCCCTTTGAAATTTATGAAAAATATTAAATTACTTGTCCATTATCAACTGGAGATGGCAGAAATCCTCACATGACTCCTCTCTTGAGTGACTTTCTCACACTTACTGACAAGTGGTCATGTCACACTTATTCTTGGATCCGAGGAATTTGAACAAGTGCCTTTTGTCTTTGCAGTTTCCTTCACCTCTTTTTTACTTCCAGCCACCTCTTTTATTCTGCTTCTGTTCTTTTGTGGAATTATTCCATCTTCCTGCAGCTCTGTGCTGAGGCAGGGATTTATGTGCTGTGTCTCCTCAAAGATTTGCACTTATTTTTCTGCTTTGTAAAAGGATTCAGCACAGTTGGTTCATTTTTACCGTTTCCAAGATGAAATAGTTTTGGATGTTTAGACACAAAAGCTATTAGAACTTTAGCTGTTCTGAAAAAACCCAATTTTATGGGGTTTTCAGATTTGGGGATTGAACTTGTCTCTGGATTTTGAATGAATGCCTCTCTTTTAAAGAACAATACAGACCAATACAGTTCAAAAAGGTGGTTTTGGAATTAGTTTGTGTCGTGCCAGAATAAGTTGGCAATATCCTTTAGCATTTGCCTTTTCCCTAGAGAGAACATGCTTATTCTTTCTAGTGCTTCTCAGAGGACATCCCTGAAGTACTTTCTTCTACAGCTGCTTTCTTCTAAGGTGTTTTCAGGCTGCTTTTATGCTGGTGCTGTGAAATCTCAACTGAAGACCACCGTGAGGTGGTGGACACAGGGATGAGGATGTTCTGAGCCACTCGATTGTTATCTTTGGTTTGGGATTGCTTAAACCATTTTCCTCTTCATCATGGTGGTATTTTGCAAGGGTATGTAGTGATAGAACAAGGGGGAATGGCTTTAAATTGAAATTTGAGAGATTTAGAGTAGATATTAGGAAGAAATCCTTCCCTGTGAGGGTGGGGAGGCCCTGGCACAGGTTGCCCAGAGAAGCTGTGGCTGCCCCATCCCTGGAAGTGTCCAAGGCCAGGTTGGACGGGGCTTGGAGCACCCTGGGCTAGTGGAAGGTGTCCCTGCCCATGGCAGGGGGTGGAATGAGATGAACTTTAAGGTCCTTTCCAACCCAAACCACTCCATGATTGATTCCATGATGTGGCTCTCAGTAAGCAGTGCTTC